TTTTTTTAAAAAGTTAAAGAACAAGGAGTAAGTATTTCATAGGCAGACGAGGAAAGAGTTGAGCTAGAACTCATTGTTGGGAGGAAGACAGCTGTAATGTAGCCCAGAAGGATGACTCCAGGGGGACCATTTGTTCAATCATTAGGAAGTCATTTGAGAGCTCAGTGTAGTTGAATAGCAGGCTAAATAAATGCGGGTATAGTCTTACAATAGAATACTATTAACAATAAAAGTGAATGAATTACACCTCACCCAAGAGCAAGGATGAATCCTATGAACTTAATATATGATAAATTATTCCATTAACATAAAGTTCAGAAGCATGTAAACCTAACTATGCCTTGCTGAGGGGTGTACACGTGAGGTGGTAGTCGTGTGAGAAAAGCTAGAGAATGAAAAACAATTCAGGATGATCCCTGCAAGGGGGACATACAGGGTATGTCAACATCAAAGTGATGCATTCATTTTCTCATGGGGTGGTGGTGCGGGGTGTTTTGTATYATGATTCTTTATAGCCTACGTATCTACATAAATATTTAGTATAAAACAATTAGAATTTTGGAAGAAGCACTTTTATAGTCCTAACTAAGTGGTTGGCAATGAAAATAAGGGAATTAGAAGTCTGAATGAGGATCTAGAAGACCAAATGAGGACCTTTTCCTAAGATGGGAGAGCTGAGTACGATGTCACTGTGTTTGTGTTTCTGCCAAGGAGCAAGAGAGAAGGGCGGGCAGTGCGTGTGACAGACGCAGAGCAAGCGGGGGCAGATCTGTGAAATGGAAAGACAGATGCACCTTAATTCACTGAGGCAATAAAAGGAGTCCTGCAGACGGACAGGTGGAAATCTAGACAGAGTAAGGAAGAAAGACTGAGCCGAAGGGATCTATGAGTAACGGCATCCATTGTCCCAAAAGAGTAGAGAGATTCATTTCTCTAGGACAGTGTTTCCTGGCTTTTCATGTCACAGCACAAATAGAAAATCGTATTACTTGGATGACACTGTGAGGTGAGGAGGACGGCCAGGTGTGGCCATGCTGAAAGCACGCAGGGTCAGACTTGCTGCATCTGAGCCCTGGGCCACCCAGTCTGTATCCAGCTGTGAACAGATGTGTGGGGAGGGAAGCGGTAGGTGGGGCACTTGGGAGGAGAGTACACTGGAGAAGGGTCTTCACCAGGATGAGSTTCTATGTATTTCTTCTGAAAAATGTGAAAAGATGGACGACATGTCTGCCCAGCCCTTTGCATTTCTTGAATCTGAAAGCAGTTGGCCAACAGGGRCTTTGACGGAGGCTTCTAGAAGTGTGCGGGCTGCCGTGTGGAGGGGTGTGAAGGGTCCAGCTCTGTCCAGGGGTCGCTTACGAGGACTGACTTTTTGAGAAGATGAACTTTTATTTTGGTTTCCTTTGAGAATGTGTAAGAGAATTCTTGACAGAATTTGAAATATATTCCATGATGTGAGTGCTAAACATTTACTGGAAACATATATTGCTAAATTTAACAAAAACATAAATTTGAATTTTAAAGCTGTCCCTAGATGAACCTGCTGATAATTTCTTCCTGTGTTTTCATTATCAGTGGAGCTTATTCTAGCATAAGATCCCTAAAATTAGATCCCGTGGATTCTGAAGCATCTCACTAATTATTTAGTATATTGACAAGCTGTTTTTTACTAATGTTTTTAATTTATGTGAGACTATCTTTAGAAGCTCTCTGGTAGCTTTAATAATGCAATTAGTCTCTGAAGAATTTAAATAATTTAAAAGAAATGCTAATAACAAGCTCCTAATAGAAACACGGTGTATATCTTGGTAACAAGAAAGCATTTTTTGACATCAAAGGAAACTATTCCAAGGTAATAATTCTGCAGTAGTTTAAAAATATAAAACAGAGATCATGATGAAGCCATACGAGGTTACCTAACACTTTAATTAGTCTCTTCACTAATTATGTTGTTACTTTAAAATTTTATTCATCTTACCTGGAAAAGTCTTGCTAGTGTCTTTCTGAAGTCTCAGTTCATTTTATTTTTAGTTTGGTGCCATGATAACATCAATTTCCTGGACTATAGCATGAGGCCTCAGGGACACAGGAAGGGGGAGGTGACCAACTGATTGTTTTTTTTTTTTTTATTGGTTGTTCACAACATTACAAAGCTCTTGACATATCATATTTCATACATTAGATTGAAGTGGGTTATGAACTCCCAATTTTACCCCAACTGATTGTTTACAAGGGTTTATTTACATTTATTCCCATAAACGTTCCCATCTCTCTCTGTTACCTGGTAACACAGAGATGATAAAAGCAGTTTTAATTTAAAAAGTTCTACCAACAAATTTGTGGGTTTTTTGAAGAGAGTTCCAGGTAATCATTAGTAGCTCTTTGTCTCCAACTCAATCCAAGGGAAGTCTGGCCTGTAGCATCTGCTTCTGCGTTGGCATCAGGACATTCCACAGCTGATAAGTCACCAAATGACTCGTCACCCCTGGGAGAATCCCCAGAGTAGGCCAAGATGAGAGGAACCTGAGATTCATACGTTTTTATGGAAACTCTGTATTGGACAGTGTCTCCGAAGGCAGTCGCTTGCTGTACATGAGTCTGGTTCTTAACATTAACTCCTCCTCCTTCCGGGGACTGTGAACAGAAACCCAGGGATGATGACAAGACTGGGTTGTTTTGTTAAGTTGGTTTCTCCCTCTTTTACCCCAGCAACACTCTATGATAAAGTGCTTGTGTTGTGTAGTATAAATACTTTTGCCTCCTTCAGTTTCTAGGGCCTATGAGTTCCCTCTTGGTGAATGAGGAATGAGTTAGGGTCCTTGTTTATGTATTCTATCAGATGAGGACCGATTCATGCCGGTTTTTCAGTGTTCTGTTCTAATTGTTTACTTTAGAAAGTGAGCTCAGATTTAGGAAATCCAGACTTAACAACAGTCATCACAGACTTCTAGTAGAAAATTCACTGAGTAAACAGAAGGCAATTTAAATGGCTATTTAAAATATGGGCACCAAGTGATTTATTCTTTCTTTTTTTAAAAAACAAAGTAATGTGTGAATTGAAAAGCAACTCATTTCCTTGGTATCCTCTGGCCAGTGAGCACTCCTTCAGGTTAGGCGTGAGGTCCTTATAGTTAGGAAAACAGCAGGTCAGAAACATACTATTTGTATAAATTGTTTGCTGTTATTATTATCAACAGTAGCTAACATTTGTGGAGCCTTAGCTGGGTCCAGAACTGTGCCAAGCATCTTTGATGTAGCATTATTTTAATTCTCCCAACATCCTTATGAGGCAGGTATAAATTATCTTTATTTTCAGATTTGAAAATGGAGGCGCCACAGAGGTTAGCTACCACTGAGGTCCTAATAAGTGGCTTGGGCAATTTGCAGGCCCAAATCTGTGAGCACTGTCAGAAATCTGAAGAAACAGCTCCACATTTATGTGCCTTATTTGTTCCACCTAGTCTGGGTGATTTTTAAAACACATTTATTTTCCTTTAGAAAAATTTCCAGAACCCTGTGGGATGCACTTTTTCAAGATGTACCACATTTTAAAATTATCTTAAGCATTTTCTTTTAATGAGTTTTTTATTTACTAAATGACATGTGCTGAGGAAATTGTGAAGCTACATTTAGTTTAAAATAAGTCATTATAATTTCAGTTTTAAAAATATAACATTTAAATTGCCTTATTTTTGGTGCATTGGCACAAAAAGAGATCACTCTCCACTCTACAGGACAATCAGAGCTCTTGCTTTTCCCCTTTCTCTACTTATATTTTTTTCTGTTACTGGACAGCTGTGTTACAATGCAGAACATCACTCGATAACAGGCAGCATTGAGGTCATATGCTTTGAACAAAATCAGTCAAGCCACGTCTCTGAGCATGACACGTATGTCCCACATAAACTGCTTAGATTTGTAGGCTGCTAGAGCTGGGTTTCTCCTTAGTAAGTTACCTAAAAATCACCTTCTAAATTGACAAGGAAAGAACTCATTCATCATCAAGCAATAGCCAGATAATCCAATTACAAAACCAAACCCATGACAGTCTGACCTCAGTTGTTTGGGGGAGAGACTACCTTGCTTGCAGGTAACTTGGATCCACAGTGGGTGACACTCTTAGGCAGAGTCTGGCTGTCCTGAGTCTCTCGGGTGTGATCAYAGCTTTTGGCTTTTGGTACCTGATTCAGACACCCTTCGAACTGTCCTCTAACTCTTCTTGTGTGGAAGTCTCCCTCGCCAGTGCAGTCATGCACTGCATGATGAGGTCAGCGATGGGCCTCACATCTAATGGGGGGTAAGTTCGCGTCGCCTGGTCATGCTTCACAGGCGCATTCTGTGTGTGCATCCTCTGTGGTGTCCACACGGCAGTGAAATCGCCTGCCAGTGCATTTCTCAGAAAGCATCTCCACTGTGAGCAGCACAGGTCCTGGGACGCAGGGCTTTCAAATGTTTCCGTCCCTGTCCCATGTGGCAGGCCCACTCTGCCGCCACTTTGGAATTCATATCACATCTTGCCGTTTCTTCCTCCGCCTCAGAGTTGGTGAGAGGACCTTCAGGTTAAAAAGGCAAGTTTCTCGAGTCACCCTTTWTGGTGCCTGCTGCCACCGTCTTGGAAAGCTACAAGAAAAGTCCCAAGCTTTGTCTATTTGAATAAATTGAGCTCAGTTTCCTTCTCACTGGGGAGATAAACACGAACATCTTGTTACCTAGTTTTATGTCTTGATTGTGATAACGATTTTTAAAAGTTGCCCATTCTATTCTGCTTTTATACCAGACAGATATGAAAAAATAATGAACAAATTTTTCTTTCAGTGATTTTGTGATTTTAGAATATCAACCTCAATGTTAAATCAGCATTGCAGGAGAACTTTTGGATAAATTGGAGCAATTTTTAAAATTGGCCCACAATGTGACAAAAAGAGGCTTGCTTTTGGCTGAATGTGTGCAAGTCGTTTAAAACAAGAGGCTCACTTCTTTATGTGTTTCCTGTGTTCCAGGTATTGGTGGCAACTTGGTGGCCATCCAGGCCAGCAGAATCTCCACCTACCTCCACTTACACAGCATTCCAGGAGAACTGCCAGATGAACCCAAAGGTTGCTACTACCCGTTTAGGACTTTTTTTGGTCCAGGTATGTGCTTGTGGCCTTTTACAGATTTTAGATGAGGAACTACTACTCTCTGAGATGACAGGCACCCACGTTGTGTGACTGTTGCGTAGCTGTCCCGTCACTGGGAGCTGACCTTGGTGAACAGGAAGACATCTGTATCTTTGCTTATGCGTTTTCTCTTTTATTTCTCTCTTTCTGGTATATCTTGTTTATTAGGGAAAAGGAACCTTACAACATCAACAAGGCATTGCTAGGTGCTTTGGGGAGACCGGTGGACTCTTCCTTTGTCCATTTTTTTGGTCTTTGTAAATGAGGGGAGAGCCTCAGCGATAAGGATCGGTGCATTATTTATTTCAACCAGGCAAGGGACTGCCACAAAAGGGAGACTATATTTTTGAACCTCACTATTCTTGTCACTTCCTTTTCCTAATGAATATAAGTGTGATTTTTGACTTTTGAATAAAGATCAGAAATGCCCACCTTTGTAATACCAGTGATAGAATTCTAGAGGAATATATGAAATCAAAGCATTCAAGAACTTTCTCTTTTGTCTTCCCTGTTTTTATGGTAGATACTTAAGTATGACTAATGTTCTTCGTTGCAAGTTTTTAGCAACCACCTTTCATTTAATGACATATAACAAATAGTGAAAATTTCAGAGAAATAAGTAAATTGTAARTAATTGAAACTTATTTTTAATGCTTGAACTTTATTTGATGTTATGAGATGTAGTAACTAGAAATTAATCCTCAAATTTTTTTTTTAATATTTATTTATTTATTAGTTATTGGCAGACACAACATCTTTGTTTATATGTGGTGCTCAGGATCGAACCCGGGCCGCACRCATGCCAGGCGAGCGCGCCACCGCTTGAGCCACATCCCCAGCCCAATCCTCAAATTTTAATAATTCTGAATTATGATTAACCAGAATCTGTTTTTGTTTTAGTGACATTTACATTTTCTGTCACAGGAGTAAATAATAAGTCTGCCCAGGTGCTCCTGCTTCTGGTGATCCCCGGACATCTGATCTTCCTCTACACCATCCACCTGATGAAGAGCGGCCACACCTCGCTGACCGTGATCTTCGTAGTTGTGTACCTGCTTGCTGCTGTGTTACAGGTAAGAGCCGAAGCCTCTGGAGGCCTCTTGTGGGCTCAGACTGCCTTAGAACAATGACAGTAACATCTAGAGGCACGTCCTGGATCGCCATGTCAGAAGGCAGCTGCAGGCTTGGTGTTGATGGGATCTGAGGACAKTAAGCTCTCTAATGTCGTCTGTGTGTAGAACCTCGGGGTTTCCTTTCTGTGGATCCCCGTCTTCCCTGTAGTGTGTATGAACCCATCTTCCATAGGTTCTTGACAAAGTGCGCACAGGAGTCTTTTTTTTTTTTTTTTTTAGCATGTTCCAGGTGCTTGACTCCACTGTCCTCGAGGAGCTTGGATGTGGACTTCTGTTTCCTCAGGATCTTTATCGCCTTTTTCTCTTGCTGCTGATCCCATCATTCATAACTTTTTATCTCCTAGAAGCTTGGAAGAGCTTCTGTTTTTATTTATTATTCTTAAATTTCATGCTGATATATCTGGTATGGGCATATTTTGTCTATTTGACCTTTCAAACTAAAAACTCATGTTCTTCAGTTCTGGGGAAATTTCTTAGATCTTTTGCTGATTTTCTTTCTTCTATCTTCCTGGAATCTTATTTGGTCCTTGTATCTCTTGCACTCAATGTCTTATTCTTTTTTTCTTTATTTTGGCTTCTTGGGCATGGCTTCTCACTACACTTTGTTGATCTGGTGCCTCCTACAGTGAGAAAGTCAAACCCCATGAGAGGTGGATTAAAATAACACCTTGAAGAGATAGCATTTGAAGTTGGCCTTAAAGGGGTTTGTCGTCTAGGGATGGAGCTGGAGGGTAGGGACATTTTTCCAATCAAAAGAAACAGCATTGGAAATGTTGATCTGAATGAAATTAGTAGAATTCTTGGTGTTTCCTGTCTGTCAGGCTCCACTCCGAGTACTTTTCATGTGTAGACTGACTTCTCACCAAACCCCACGGGAGATTTGTTCTTTTGATGGAAATAGTGATTCTCAAAGCGAAGTCCGTGCAAAACAGTGCATTTTGTATAGGAAGAAAAGATTAACACTTCTATTTATCTCTTCGTCTCATGTGTTTAAAATACCTATTTCCTTCTGTTTTTATGATTAGTAATTAACAGACTATATTATCACAGGGTTAAATAAGTGTGTTCAGATGTTTTTTGCTGAGAGAGATGGATGATCTAAAACTTCTTAGAGATTGTGGAGTAGAAACAGTGGTGAGAAAGCACCTTTATCATTCCCTAAGTCTCCGTGCTGTTAGAGGCAGGATGTCCCGAAGTCCTGGAAGCAATGAATCCAGACCCTGCCGTCAAGGACTCATCTGGTGGGAAGATGSCACACGAGCAGATAATCCACCGGGTAGAGCTGTGTGCAGAGTGCTTTCAGAGCTTGGAAAAAAAGTGGCTCACTCTGCCTGGGGAGCAGTATTTTTTTACTTTTTAGCAGAGACAAATTTCTTTCAAATGCTTTTTTATTGCTGGTTACTTTTATTGCAGTAGATGATGCAGCCTCATATTATCATTTACGTGGGATACTCCTGTGTGTGTGTGATGAACAAAGATGCTCCCCTCAGTCCTGAGGGAAATGGCAGAGGCGGGTTTGGTCTGCTGACAATGTACCGTTTCTGGAGCACGCCCCTGCTTACAGCTCTGCCTCTCCCTAGATTGATTTGCGGCTTCATGTTTACTGTTCTGTGCCCGTGTGCATCACGTGCGACTTCACTGAAGTCTATGAAGAATATAAGCCATTTTTCTGAGTTTATTTAAAAAAATGAGATTTCATTCTGCATTAGAGTCTCTTTATGTCTCTCTCTTTTTAAAACCTCTGACCTAAAGTCTCACCAGTGAAAGTTGTAAAACTGGAGTTGGGGGGACGAGTAATCGCCAGTCCGTGTCTCAATTCTCCTATTAAATGGAAAGAACAGTAGTGTGTACTYCATAGCCGGTTCTGAAGATTAAAGTTTGCTGCATGGTAGATGCTATACAATTGTCAGCTGATAGCATTGTTGTTGTTAAATATGAACTATAAGTGGTGTGCAGTTGATCTCTGAATGACAATTGCAACATGTTTTTAATTCTTTTATGGTGTTGATTTTCTTATGTTTCTTTTACAATTTTGAGTTTTAAGTGTTTTCTTCTCAAGAATCAGCTATGTGACATAATAGATCTGCATTTGCAGCTTGACATTACATGCTATTCCAATGGAATAACATAGAATCCGAGATTATAAATTCTCAGATCAAATCTTTCTGCTTTGATACTAACATACACATATACATAAGTGTGTCTCCTCCCTCCCTCCCTCTCCCCCCCCCTCTCTCTCCCCCCCCCCAGGTTTAGATAAAAGAGCTTGACCTTTCTCAGCCTGATTCAATCATTTCAAAGACATATAGCATAAGGAAATAACTTTTTTTTTTTTTTTTTGCTGTGCTGGAAAGGAAACTGAGGGCCTCACACTTGCTAGATGAGTGCTCTACTGCTGAGCTACACACCCAACCTAAGAAATAGTTTTTTATTTATTTATTTTTTGGTACTGGATTTTAAACCCAGAGGTGCTTTACCACTGAGCTACATCCCCAGCCTTGCTTTTTTTTCTGTTTCCTGAGACAGGGCCTTGCTGAGTTGSTGAGGCTGGCTTTGAACTTGCAATCCTCCTGCCTCCGCCTCCTGAGTTGCTCCACCACACCTAGTAGAAATAACTTTTTAAAGACAGAGAATTGACCACTTAGTCAGATTCACCTTTTAATATTCTTTACTTGATTGGCTTCCATTTTTGATCTGGRTTAAATTAATATTCAGGACCTTGGCTTAAATCCCAGTTCTTAGTCACATGTTTCAGTCTGTATTGCTCTTCTTATTCCAAAACTGTTTTGACTGATGATTCTGTGGTGGARCGTTCTAATGTTTAACTTCTCCCTGTTTGGATTCCTGCCTCCCCGAGGGTGGAGAGCATGCCTTTTTKGCTTTGGTCCTCCCCACAGGGCATTGAGACAGTGAGCGTTTTTAAATTGTTCATCATTATAACCTTCGTACCAGCAGCCAGCATTTACCAGAAGACTACCTGTGGTCAAGGTCACAATTGTTGGTTTCAGAACCTATTTTTTTTTTTTAATCTACCTCTTACTAGTCCGTGGAACCCACAGTTCTGATTTCATAGAAYTGGAGCGCACTTCCTTCCACGAGCTTAGAGATGGTGGGTTCCTTCCCTGTTAGAGATTCCTCCTGCCATGCTCTCTGACTGCTCCRAGCTGTTCATTTGTTCATTCAAAAGCGTAATGTGGGGTCCCAAGCTTCGATGGGCTTTGTGGGTCTTCCTCCTAAGATGTGAGGAAGGGAATMTTGCTATCTTGAGGGTTTTCAGTCTCTTTGTTTGACTTACACCCTACAGTCTTTTCCAAAGACATAATACCTTGATAGCATAATAAGCCCACAAGATACAGAGATGACTATCAATCAAATAAAGGTTCTGACAGTCTCTTGAGCTAAGAAGAAGCTGCAGTACATCTTGGTGCATTTCCCTATTTAATATAGCTTCTCTCAGACCTCCTCTGTTCTAGAAATCTTACCTGTGTATCCTTTGTGAAAAGACAAAACCGGAGGTTTGAGTAACATCTCCCAGAAGAAGTAGAAAGATTGCCCTTGACAAACTGTAGGTGGAGAGCCGGGCCAGACTGCAGTGAGATGGGTAATCTGAACCTGAGGGTCCTGTGACCATYCAGCCCCATGACTTCTGTAATGCACTGTTTATTTATTTCACTGCTTTAATTAAAAATGAAAACACTTTTGTTTCACTATCATAATTTGTATTTTTATAATGATGATTAGATATGTGGAACATAATTTTTTGCTACTATAAAATATCTCAAAAGGAAAAGAACAATGAGACTTTGCTAACCCTCGATGCCTATTGAATTCCTACAAAATGTTCATTCCTATAATTGGTAAACAATGATTTGAAACAATTTTTAAATGAAAGTTTTAATTGTCTATTCTAGGCACTGATTGTTTCATGAGAAAATTGGATAAAGTATGTTTTATGCATKTATGAAAATGTCACACAGAAATCCATTTTTTTTTCAGCTCATATAGGCTAATAATTGTGATTTTTAAAGAGGAAAAAGAGAACTCTACTAAAACTCTTGCAGTACCAAATTCCACTCGAAAGTTTGGTTATAGAAAATGTTTGCCCCAGGCTGGGC